GAGTGGATAGTAACTTGCCGAGCGATTGATATCAGTCATCTCTCTATCTCTCTCTCCCCTCACCCTTTCTCTCTCTCTCTATCTCTCTCTCCCTCACCCTTTCTCTCTCTCTCTATCACTCTCTGTCTCTGTCTGTCTGTCTTTCTCTCTCTCTCTCTCTCTCTCTATCTATCTATCTATCTCTATCTCAGTCTCTCCCTCTCTTTCTCTCTTTCTTTCTCACTAGTTTGTCAACCCAGCTAGGAGCAGGACAACGCTGAATACAGAACCGCTTGGGTCGTGGGCTAGTTACTTGTAAACACACTTAGCCTTGCTAATCGTCTCTATACATTGTTTTAAATGAAATCTGTACCAGCAATCTTCTTTGCGATTACAACTCCATAATATCATATTTTCAAATTCCATGCCTAATTTTTCCTTATTAAAATTTGTAGTGTGCCGCAGAGTTTTACTTATTCTACAAGTGCGTCCTCAAGTAAAAGAAAAAGGGTGAGAAACATGAGAGCTGTAGAAAACACAATTGCGTTGTTTTCTCTTTTGTCAGTTATGTAATTGGCATACATCATACACGCTTGGGCGATCATGTCTCTTTCGATTCATATCTGACTAGCAAATTTTCCTGGAGTAGATTACCGTTTCTTTCTGCGGTAGACTGACCAAGGCTATTGGACTCAGTCTGCTACACAGCACATATGTAAGGCGGGTGGCGATAGACGATATGGATTCTTACCTTTCGCAAGAGTATCTGCAGTTAAGTGAAAGTAAAGAACTCGATTGGAATTCGAACTAGGCTCTCATTCCACAACGTTATCCATTATACTACACCGCCCATCCGCTGTTTTTTTTTTTTTTTGTTGTTTTTTTCATTTGCTATATTTTTTAGGGTGTGGCATAGCATATTTAAATGTCAATCTGTTCATTCAAGGTCTTGGAAGAGATTAAGTAGTTTAGTGTTCTAATATGTACTTCCATTCGTCCAAGTATATTCATGTTATTTTCTATACGTTTCAGCTATTGTACTCTTCGGCATCCAAGTGTCTGTCGTTCTCGATAAACTAGAAAATTTTGAACCGAATCCTTTATTCAATCAATGGGGCCAGATTGTTCTCGTTCTGTTTTCCTATGCTTTCGTGAAATCTCTTATCAGTTAATTCCCGCCAGACTGATTCAAATTCGTGTCGCTAGTCCGTTTCTTCCACTGAACTGGACTATATGACTTTTCAGCACGTACTGCTTTGAATCTGGTGAAATTTCACCTGCCTCTGACGTAACGCGAATTAAATTTCTCCTACTGAAAATTATAAAATCAGAAAACAAATGCCATCTTCGACATACGGGTTATGAGGCAACAGCAATAGTAGGAATGTTTAAATCAGTGAAAAACATCATTCATTATGAAGTACTATTTATTACAGTAAACCACGATGAAATCCAGTGAATGTATAATTCTGACATTTCCCTCAATGAACGGTTTGGCTGAAGACCTACCGTTAATTTAAAAAAGATTATTCATCGATATAATTGATTAACCTGATGAGTGAAATATATTTTAAAAGTAATAAAACTCTATGTCATTGAGTTAAATGTCACTGAGTTAAGGATTGTTGTCACCTTCTTTTTCTTGCCTTTTTTGCTTTGGTTTGACTTTATCTTTCATCTTTTTCTTCTTTTTTCTGGATTTTCATTTTCTTCTTCTTCCTCTCGTTCTTCTTTTTCATTTTCTTTTTCATTTTCTTTTTTCTTCTTCTTGTTTTTCCTTTCCTTTTTCTTCTTTATCATCATCTTCCTTTTCTTTCATCTTTTTGTTCTTTTTTCTTCTTCCTTTTCATCTTTTTCTTGTTGTCGTTTCTTTTTCTAATCTTCTTCTTCTTCTTCTTCTTCTTCTTCTTCTTCTTCTCTGCCATGTCCGTACAGAACGTAGGCAATCATGACTATCCGCATCTCCCTTTCTTGTGTAACTTTAAGTAAATTTAGACTTCTATCTCATTCTGACCTTGTTCTCCAGTCCATTCTCCCAAACTTGTTAACCACATCACCTTCCCCCCTGTTTCTCTTCTAGTTATGAATATGTCATGAGTGTGGTAAATTCTCCAAGCTCTCTTTCCTCATTTTGTCTCTGAGAATTTCAATTCTTTCTGATTATAAATATCGGTTTTGTCGTAGTTCCTATTCTCCTAAAAATTTTAAGTTTTTCAAATATACTGTTCTGTTGGTTTTCCCCGTATTCATCGACGGAATGTCATCTATGTCGTTTCACGTCTCCTCTCCATCATTCACTGCTATATGGATTATTAGATATCACATAAGAGTTCGACACTCGTTTTTGTTTCTATAGCTATTTTCCTATGTCTTAATAACTTGCTTAGTTTCTGAAAGGTAATTTTGACCATTTCTATGTGCCTTTGAACGACACACTGACACATTTTGTTGACTGTTAAAACATTATTCAGACAATTACATTTCTCTAGCTGCTTGAGTTCCATATCGCTATTGTCTTCTTACGTTTAATAGTTAGTCCTTTCTTCTGGCTTTCTTTTACTACCTTATCTATGAATTATTTAAGTTTTCTTTATTGTTAAACCATAAGCCAAGTTCCATCTGTGTATCTTACATTGTTAAGAATATATCCGCCTCTAATAAATTGCCATAGGTCCTCGACTTTTCCTAGGGTCGTCTCGATCTACAGGTTAAGAAAATGTATCCATGTCTTATTCTTCTTTTTATTTTGTATAGTCAATGAACATGATCTCTATCCGCATGCAAGCCAGTTGTTCCCAGTAGAGTTTATTGATTACTTGATTATCTTTCCCAATATAAATCAAGCTTTTCTTGTATTTCTTGTAGTTCTCCGTGCTAATGCTTTGTATAAGCCATACAAAAGTGGTATACGTCTTCCTGCATTTGTATCGAACGTTCTTATAGCATTCTGATCATAACAAATATGATTATTTCCAAGCTAAAAACAGCGGAAAGTTTTGGCACGAAATCTCCCATCAGATTTAAAAAAAGAAGGCTTATTTCCTAAGACTGTTTTAATAAAATTATTTTGTAGAAGTCAACCGATATTAAAAGTATCTGTTCGGATAGGAATGATTTCTGAACGAAATTTTACCATTATTATTTCTGTTCCGAGAACATCTCAATCTTCTTTGATAATTATCGGCCTGATTCTGCTTGATGTCTTTTTAAAAGAAATCCTAATGATTAGTTTAATGATGTGATTCATCGGAGTGTTTATTCCGAAACTGAAATGTTTCGGCTTGCAACAAGAATTTATCTTTGCTTATTGATTAATTCGTTTTCTACAGTTTATCACCGTTTTGTAGATTTTGTAAAGCCAGAAAATAATTTTAAATTACAAGATTTTTTTTTACAGACATAATCACATTTTAGTGTTACAATTCTTACTAATTATCAGGTCATCCCATAAGTTCTGTCCGAATTTTGAATAAAGAAAACAAGTGACCAAATGTTACATTTAATTACAGATTCAATCAACAATGTATTTTCCTTGATTATCTATGACTTTCTTCCATCTATTAACAGGCTTACTAATTCCATTACTGTAAAATTCTTTTGGCTTTGATTCGAAGAACTCACAAATGTCAGTTTTAAGCTCCCCCTGTGTTACAAAAGCTGTTTCTTCCAAATGATTCTCTAAGCTACGAAACAAATGATAGTCTGAAGGAGAAAGATCGGGAGAATAAGGTGGATGATGAATTTTCTCGCAACCAAGTTCTTCGATCTTTTTTGACGTGATTTTTGCTGTGTGGGGTTGCGCATTGTCCTCATAAAACATCACCTCTTTTCGATTCACTAGAGCAGGTCTTTTTTTCCTCAAAGCTTGGTTCAAACGCTCTAATTGCTGACAGTATATTTGAGCATTAATTGTTGCATTAGGTGGTATGAATTCAAAGTGGATTATTCCTTGGCGATCCCACCAGATTGAAAGAAGAACCTTTTGCCCATGAAGTTCCCTTCTCGGCTGTGGCTGGGGTTCTTGTCCTTTACCAAGCCACTGTTTACGACGCTTAACATTTCGATAAAAGATCCATTTTTCGTCGCTTGTCACAAGTCTATCCAAAAAAGGTAACACGTTGGCGAGAATGGAGAGAGGAGCAGATGTCAACTCCGGATTTGAGGTTGTTTTCAGACAATTCATGAGGCACCCATTTTCCAAGTTTAGGAACTTTTCCAAGTTGTTGAGGATGAGGATGAAGAGTTGTATGGTTTGAATTGAGAACCACTGCCAATTCCTCAACTGATAAAGCAGGATTTTCTTCAAGGGCTGCTTCATAAAGCTTTTCATCAAACTCAACTGGACGTCCGGTTCGATCTTCATCTTCAAGCGTGAAATCCCCACCTCTGAATTTTGCAAACCATCTTCTGCCAGTTCTTTCATTCACACATTCCTCTCCATAAACTGAGTGAATGTTTCTAGCCGCTTCGGCTGCTGAGTTTCCTTTCTTGAACTCATAAAGCATTATGTGCCTCAAATGATTCTTGGTTATTTCCATGTTAGCAGGGTTTTAATCAAACAAAATTTAATTTTATTGTTCTCTGAAATAAAATTTGATCAGTTTAAATGCATCTAAACATAAAAATAATGTTCAGCTCCATTAGATATTATAAAATATATTTCGTTCATTTAAAAAAAATGATAAAATTCGGACAGAACTTATTGGATGACCTGATAGATGGGGTGGAGAAGAGTTAGATTCATACCTCTTCTAATGGTATTTGCGCGTAAATGAATATAACAAATCCGACTAGAATTAGAACTCGGCTCTCCTGTTAACAATTCTGAATCGTTATCCATACACCAGCTATGGGTTAATTTGTTAGTAGTAGTTACTTGTATCACTAAACGATTATTACCTAACCAAAACTCTTACAATATTTTCTGGTTTCAAATAACCTACAAACGGTTTATAAGCCGCAGTAAACGAATCAATATATCGAAAAATATTTAAGACCTTTACACCATCCACACATACAAGCTTACAACACCTGGTATTCTCAAGTGGTCACTCACCTAGATACTGACCAGGCTCAACGTTGTTTAACTTCGGTGATCTACACAGAAACCGGTGTTTCAACATTATTTGTGCGTAAGTCGTTACTTATTGAAATGAAGTTGTATTCAGTACATCCAAAACTAAACTAGTAATATTTTGTCTCCATCGAAAAGACACTAAACCTGAACCAATCTTGATGAGTGGTCATGTCCACAAAGAGGTTTATTGCCTTGTACACTGACTGGTTATAAAACTCACTCTTCATTGAATGCGTATATTCGTGTCATCGAAAAAAAAAAGCCGGAAGAATGGTCGGTTCATTGTATCGCTCTAAAAAACGCCTGTTGTCATGCTCTATCTTAACAAGATTTAGATCGGGCCAAGAATGGAGTAGTGATGCCATATCTAGGATGGAGATACCCAGTCCTAACTGTCCAGACTCG